TACAAATTGGTCAAATAAGTATTTGGAGAGTTAAAAGTAACAACTCTGTTAGATATGCTCTTAGTTTGAGCCTGGCTGCTTACTTAGGTTTTGCATATTAAATGTAAAACGTTGTTATCTCAAAGACTGCAATGTATTGGGCCGGGCTGTACATAGAGGGCCTATTAGGCCATGCCAGCCCACCAACTCAAAATTCAAGTTTATCAGATACTCGTAAATTTCTCTAAGGTACTAAGGGAAAAAAAAATGATCCCTATGGTTTCATAGGAGCATCTGGCTGATCAAATGTCAAAGTGAAAGACAAATATTTTTTGGATTATTAGATTTTTTTGCACGCCAAAACTTTATAGGCCTTACTAGACAGGGATTTAGTTACCATGCAATACGCATATGCTCGTACACCACTGCACATGCACAGACCCGTGAATGCGACTCCCTAACATACGTTCAAAGAAACAGAAATCAGCGGCAAATCCATAAATTCGATAAATTCATATATTTTTGTGCATTTTAGCTGAGCATAGATAATGTGCACTGTTACTGATAAAACGTCGTGACAGGATGATGACCAGGATATATTATGTCAGCAGGTAGCATCTTTTTTTTTTAAGATAATGAAGCACAATTTATGCACCTATAAGATTTCTAGAATGCACAGTTGTCACCTAAAAGATACCGATATAAACTGTTTGTGCTCTAGCAAACCTGTATCTTGAATAGGCAAGCATAACTCATGTACTCAGTTTCCAGTGACGTATCTAGAATGTTTATATATGTGGTCCAACTTATATACCTTTTTTAAATGAGAATATATCCTATGCACACAAGCTTCCCGTGCATACTCCGTGCACATAAACTAGCAAATGTCATAGAAATTCTAGAAAAAATTGGGCACATACTTCCAACAGTATTACACCTACGTATGAAATCTTATCTTCAAATTCATTATATTTTAGCCATACCAAAAAGAAACATTTCTGACAGATTTTTACCCTTAAAATTATCAATTTTTTTTCACTTTTTTGTTACGGTTAAAATATAATGAATTTGAATATGAGACTTTTTAGATATGTGAAATACTATTATGAGTAAATGTCCAATTTTTTTTTTACAATTTTTTATGACATTTGCTAGTTGGTGTGCACGGAGTGTGCACAGGAAGCTTGTGTGCAAATATAATAAGGTTAGAAGTATAAATTGATCAAATATGCATCATAATATATTAATAAGATATGTATTTTGGTAAATAAAATCTTTACACATAGGTATATATGCATTGGGCTAGATTTTTTGAGTGGTACCGGGACCACCCCTAGATCCGCTTATGTCTGTTTATAATCTCTTGGTTTAATAAAAGGCATGAGTTCTTAAAAAAAAAGAACCCGCTTTAGAAAACCAAATAAAAATGAAAACGAAAAGAACAAGAATCAGTACGCAAGCAGCAGGTAGCATCCTAAGCAACATATAGAAGTGAAGAATGATGGAAGATGGTGAAGATATTCCTTCATTTTCTAACATGAAAGGTGTTCCTCCCTGGTAGTAGTAGCTTATATATTTTCGCCTTTTCAAAGTTCAGAAACTTTCTAGTCAGACAGAGACTATTGCTCTATGAAGCCGTCATGTCTGGGAACAGAATTCCTGCATGCTAAAGCTTGTACAATGTGGAGTCGATTTCAGCGCTCTATTACCATGTGGATGATTGCAGATGGCATAGCATCTCTTCAACAATTTTGGGTGTTAATGTGTCAACTTTCCCCTGCAATATGTGACACCGTGATTGATGATGGCCTCTGCATTTTTTTCCTGCTTTCAGTTTCTGTCACCTGCTGATGCACAGTTTCAGGTGATTTTAATTAGCATGGATTATCCCTTAACAAGGTACTTATAACTCCAGTTCATAAACATGCAAAGAAGGCCCCACTGAAAAACTGAGATGCCATTGTCAATAAAAGAGTCTTTTGTGAAGTGAAAAGAGTGGCATGATTTTTTTTTTCTGATTTCTTGCATCAGATGTACATATTGACAAGAAGAAATTGTTATGTTTATTCAGTCAGGGTCAAGTTCAGAAGTTGATGCTGGAGTGCAAAATGGCAATTCTTCCAATTCAAGTGCTTTCAGAGCCTTTAAGGTTCTCCAGCCTTAAAGCAATCAGATGATCATGACGATGATGATATATCCACACAATTTATGCTTGCAGCCTTGCACAATATGCTCTTGCCCCATTGCATGGATTCCAATCAAGATAGTGAGCTTCTGAATCATCCTTGTCCTCCTTAATATAATGATGATGCAGGGATCTCCTGTGTGTTTAAGGAAAAAAAAGCATAAATTTCACAAAACTACAAATACTATGATCAAATTATCACAAAACTACACATTTAACACTAAATTTATCACAAAACTACACATTTAAGATGAAGTGTCACAAAACTACATGTTTAGTAACTAAACTGTCACAAAACTACTGGTTTAGAACCAATTTAGTCACAAAGCAATAATGTATATAGCTCCAACGTAACAATGGTGCCATGGATTTAAACTCCAAAAGTTGTAGTTTTGTGATAACTTCAATATTAAATATGCATTTTTATGATACTTAACCTTAAATCTGTAGTTTTATGATACATTGGTACTAAATCTGTAGTTTTGTGATACAACGCCTTAAATATATAGTTTTGTGACAATTTAGTCAAAATACCTGTAATTTTGTGAAATTTACTTAAAAAAAAAGAACTTCTAATCATCTCCTTCTTCAAATAGTACATGATTCTGACCAGTCATGGATAGCATTTGATTGCTTTCGAGCTGCCGCGCCACCTGAAATCAGAAGCTTCAATGCAACCATGAGTTGAAATGTCTGGCTACAGTGGCTTAAACAGCTATGTTTTATGAGCATTTGCTAAATTCAGAATTAGAATTTGAGCTTCTGCGTTCGACACGTGCCCTTCCTTTTTTCCTCTTGAATTCCTATTGGTTGTAACAGGCGAACTGATGGTCTCTGTCTATGATAATCAGTCTGAACTAAACCTGTTTGTTGCCCCATGCACATTATCAGAGCTCTCTTTCAAGCAGGTGCTCCGATCAGTTGGCACATTTGTCATGTGCTGATTTTGATCATGCAAGGAGGAATCTTTCTTCATGCATTTGTTGCACCTGAAGCCAATTGGGTTTTTTGCTGTCCCCTGGCATAATTAGTAGTTATATTTGTATATGATTTTCTGTAACTTCATGGCCATTTCCTGAACCTGAAGAGCACCGAACAATATGGACATGGACTGACCACTTGCCGGCCGCACAATGACGCTGCCGTTGCATCTAAGGAGAGGAAGCTTCAGAAAATAAAATCCATGGTGCCCAACTTGCAGTTGTAGGAATCCACCGTACCATGATGTCAGTCTCACCTGTGCTGATGCCAAATGCGGCACACCAAGGGTGAGGTCTCACGACTCGCGATACTGATTTCAATATTGAGTTGCGTACACCAACCAGTTCGCTCCGAAAAAGCTTAAGCTGATGAGGAAAAGAAGCGCGATGTACTTCAAAATTCAGAAAACAGCAACTGAGATGACAAAAAGAGCATGAATGTGTGCAGGTATACTTAGTTGACTCACGGTACTGATTTCAATATCGAGTTGCGTACACCAGCCAGATCGCTCCGAAAAAGCTTAAGCTGACGAGGAAAAGAAGGGCGATGTACTTCAAAATTCAGAAAACAGCAAATGAGATGACAAAAAGAGCATGAATGTGTGCTGGTATACTTAGTTTTAAAGGTCACTTTTTATTTCTCACCTCTGTCCTACAAATCCTCACCAGACTTTATACAACAAGAATATCCCCATCATCAGACATTTGTTCTAAGTGAGTGTTTGTCAGTGAGCAATAGAGACTTAAAACTGCAGGCCTGCAAAAAAAAAGGGGGGAAGAGCTAGCGGTAGCACACATTAACAGCTGCAGCATTGTTATCATTATCTAGTGGAACAGTACTGGAATCTCTGGTTGTTCAGGTGTTCTTGTCAAGGCCACACCACAAGCACCCCTGATGATAAAAATCTCTGGTTAAACCTATTCAATCCAAAGCTTGTCAGGAAGCCTCAGTGCACTGAACTGAATTTGCCTGATCCTGCACTAGATAATGATAACAATGCTCCTGGGGAGCTCAGTTTGAGCTCAGGGGAGGGCTTAATCTATGCTTAGTTTGCCTAACTCTGCACTGAACTGAACACTTGTCTTTCTTGTGCAGAAGAATAGTGTGTGTTGGACTGTCCCTTTGCGTGTATCTATTCCTCTGAAGTTGCTTGACCTCATCTCTGCATCACACTTGTCTCAACTCCTACTGCTGATGGTGACCTGCTACTGGCGCTGGCATCTGGGGATCGGAGTGAGTGAGTGCACTTCGTTTCTCAGAGGTATTTGGTCACACATTGGCATCCTCATGAGTAGCTTTCAAATCCGATTATTTTACCTTTCCCATTGGTGCTAATGTTAATGTTTTCCCACTTTTGCTGTAAGCCTGTAACTGGCTATACGAAACTTCGCGCTGTCTTGCGCGGGTCGTTTCGAGAAAAGGTAACTGGTTATAGAATTTTTACTTCTTGTCGTGATCCGACCGTTTCCAAAGGCGAAAACGGGCGCTTCTCGTCCTCGCTCCTGTTTCGTCAAAAGCAACATAAGGTTTGTAAATTTGTTTTTTTTCAGAGATTTTAGTTGTACTTGATGTGATGTGGATGTGTGTTATTTTTTTTTATCCCACTTCTTTTGTTACATGGATGCATGTTAGAATGGAAATTTTGGTAGTTTCCTGCAGGATGAACCTGAAGGACCTTTAATAAGGTTTTATCAGTTTACAATGGAATTGCTTTAAGTTTTGCACTGTGAATAAAAAGTAAAGCAACTGACAAAAATCTCTGAATTGATGGATAGATAAGACGCTTCAAATTGAGTAAAGCAACTGAACTGTTGTGGCCACAAAACCACTCAACAAAATTCAAGAAGTTTCAGGGTTAAGTCATGAACAAATAAAATGCTCAGTAAAAGGGGGCCAAATTTGCTCCCTGAAGATGTTTAGTAAGGGGGGAACATTGGCTGCTTCCAACAACAAAGAACAGAAGCAAGCAGCAGACAATAAAATGTCAACTAACAGCCGGAATCTGAAATTAAAATTAGTAAATCAGATGAACTGAAGGGCCAAAATGGCTTGGAAGTGCACCCTCACAAATTTGATCTAAGTCCTGTCAGGCAACTTCCAAGCTGTTTTCTCCCACAATTTTCACTGAGAGAAAACAAGCCGGTATACAAAAGGGGTGGACTACGAAAACACATCCTCCGGTGCGCCGATGAATTTACCGCGCAAATTGTTGTCAGGGGGAAGAACTTTTTTTTTTTCAAAAAAAAAAAATTCCATCCCACACCTTCTCTTCAATTGTTCATCATCATCGGATCAGCAGCAACGCGCGAAAAGCCCCGAGGCGGTCGGGAAATTTCTCATCCGTCATTCCACCTACATTTTGCCGGCCACCGCCATCGTCACCGCGGTACCGGCAAAAGTTGTTAGAAGAGAGGGGGGGGAGTAGAATCTACATTTTTTTTTGTTGTTGTGAGAGTGTTGGGTCATTGATCAGAGAGGGAGCTAGGAAGAAGGAGCTGTCTACTAGGGCCTTCTGCCATACTGCAAAACCATGATGTGCTGGTGGTGGTCAGCGGTTGGTATGTCCGGCGCGGCCGACGGCGACACGGCGTCTCTCCGGCACCAGATGCTGTCACGGACATGCTGCAATGTCAGGATCGGGAGGAGCTGTCTCCCTCTGCATGTTATCTCCACCTGCACACATCGCACATTTCTGAATTTTTCAGTTGTTCAGTTCAGCTCAGCATTTTGTAACCAGGAAACAAAAGCATGTTCAGAGATCAGGCAAAACAATATATGTATATATACTTTGTTCTGAAAGATAAATTGGATGGTTTCTGAATTCAAGATGAATTGGATGGTTTCTGAATTCTGATCAGATCAACAAACAGGCCTTGAACTGATTACAAATTCAAGAACATCAATTATGTTACTGTAAGGTGAGGTGAGGCATGCAAATATGCAAATTGCTTCCGGTGGAGAGTTAGACAGTGATGTGATGGTCTTCTCCTTTTCGGCAACAACAAAGATGAAAGATGAATTGTAAGAAACTAAGCATGTTCAGAGATCAGGCAAAACGATGCACATACTTTCTTCTGAAAGATGAATTGGATGGTTTCTGAATTCTGATGAGATTAACAAACAAGCCTTGAATTTGATTACAAGCTAGTCAAGAATTATGTTACTGTGAGGTGAGGTGAGGAATGCAAAAATGCAATTTGCTTCTGGTGGAGAGTTAGACAGTGATAGATGTGAAGGACTTTCTCCTTTTCGGCAACAACAAACAACATATATTGCAGATCTTCAGTGCAGTACACTGCTGCTGTGGCTGTGTCTAAATGCCTCCTATAAAGTTATACTAGTACCATATATGCATGCACAAAAGATGCACATACACACACGCAGACAAATCCAAGTGATGACTGATGCTGATGCCTGATTCCTTGTGGTGGTTTGCAGTGATGGCATTTCACTAGCTATAGCTATCTTCTCCTCTCACATGACAGATCGATGCCCCAACCAACCAAACCTGCTGCAGGGGATGGTTTAAGGCTAAGCTAAACTATGCTAAACGTGCTTGCAATTACAAAGCACAGATCCATCTGATGAGATGCCATATGCCTATACTATTAATTAATTACTTATTGCCTAATCACTTTGCTATTATTGAATCTATTGCAAATGCATATGCATGTACTGATATAGTACTTCCTCCCATTTCTTTTTTTTAACTAATCACCACCAGCTCAAGTCAATGAGTGTGAGTCACTAAAAACAAGTACTCCTCCCTACCCAGCTTGCTCAAAACAACACCCCTACCATAAACAAACAAACAAGAGAGCTTCACATTTACCAAGCATGATCTAAGAAAAGGATGCTGATTGATTGATTGATGGATTGATTATTCTCCAATTCCTTCCCTAAATTGTCCATGAGTGTATGCATTATGCTTAAGTGAACCCCATGCCCGTGTGAGACGCCACCATTTTGCCGGTGTTGTAGCATCTCTTGGCCGTGCTAGTTCACCAAACATGCCATGGCATGACAACAACTTCTGGCCCTACTCCTGATTATGCATGATTCTTTTCTAGGTGATGGCATTGCATTTGCCACCGACATGATATAGCTCGCTGTAGCACCAACAGTGACAGCAGATCATGGTACACAAAACCTAAAATAGACCTTGTGATGCATATGCTCCCTAAATAAATAGCATTGTTGGCTTAAGCTAGCTAATTAATAACACAAAATCGATCAAGTATGAGATAATTGGCCACAGGGATATCATGGCAAATTAATTTTGCAGCACTACATACAGTAGCTGATTAATTAGTTCAGATGCATGAATAATGGGGCATTATGCTTCACATGTTTGTAGATTGAAGCCTAACCTTTTTGAAGAAGACTGAAGCCTAACCTATTAGCAATGCAACCGACGCCAATTATTTTTCTTTGTGGACAATCTTAGATAGGGCATTATGTTATTTCTTTCCATGTCAACGTCAATATATAGGAGTTCGTACTTGTGGGGAGACTATTTCTTTCTAGGTAATTTTAAATACACACACTCATTTCACCACAGGGTGTTTACTAATTGTGCAATAAGAACTGCATTCAGCATTAAAAGTTCTTTTGTTTCAATTCTACTTCATTTTTTTTTATTTCAAACTAATCTTTCAAAAACATGAACATTTTTTTTTGCCTTCACATGTTTTCTTAACATTCTTTTGACGTCAGTGTATTCTGATGAAAAATACTAATGCCACTTATACTCATTGTATATATATATGCCAAGTTATTTTCTAAAAGAACACCCATATATCAAGAAAGTACTAATCAAAAGCCCATATTAATGACCATATACATACAAACGAAGAGGCAAGGGCCATACCAAAAGACAAATGTATATCAAGCTATTAATAATTTGACGTATATAACACCTAATACTTATTCTATTAGTGGTCCAGTATATCATGGAGGCGAAAAAATAAATACGAGAAATACGACATACCTACTACCTCTACCTGTAGAGAACCCTACGTACATATGACCTTAAGAAAAGATATTTGATTAGTCAAAATATGCTATACATCAATTGCATCAGGCTGTCTCATTCTATACACCGTACCTAATTGGACTAAAAAATCAAAATAAACCATCTACAAGCTCTCTCATGTTAATGAAATAAATGTGTTGAAGGATGGAAGTAGACGAAATCTTGAACTCAACAGTTAACTGTGGATTGAGATGTTTTCGCTACAAGAAAAACTAATGTTGAGACGGCGTTTTTAGAGCTATTTTTTTTGTTTCTCTAAAAAATTAGTAGTTTCATATCCTAGAGGTGTTTCTCAATTAGAAACATTTGAGTAGTACTCCACCTAGCTACAAGCACAATGTTCAAGCTCAACCTGTACAGATAGCATGACAAATTAACTACTTCTGACGACAAACCAATTACTTTATCTCTGTAGAAATTGCCAAACATAAAGCTCATATGCTACTTATGAAATTTAATTCATCAATCTAGCTTGTTTGTTAAATGCTCTAAGCAACTTCAGAACCTATAAATTGTTTTCATCAGTGTATATATAATATATCATCAAATTGTGATCTTATTTGCACACTGGTAATCTATTATATATTATAGCAGTACACAGACCAAGATGTCATCCTAAGAAATCTGATTTGAATGATTTGCATAAAAAATGTAGTTAATTGATTTTATGTGATGACAAAAGTTGTTCCAAATTTCCGCAAACGGAAACGGTGTTTCCTACAAGAAATTAAGAACTGCAAATTGCAGTGAACAAATGTAGGAAAGTTCCATTCCACATTCTTAACCTTCAAAAACTGCCTTGTTAGTTCAACCTAGCTATAGGACAAGGATCAAAATAATATTAACCCCCTATTGCTAGATCTAACATGATCATGTGGGCATGCATTTTTCTACACAGGTTGCAACCCTCCACCAATCAAAAACAGCCAAACATGAGGAGTTATAAAACCCTAATCATGCACCACACTAACAACAAAACAAAAGCAAAGGGAAGGGAAGAAAATACTATACTAGCACTGACACCAATCCACGAATCTTTAGTCACATCGATCATGCACACATATGTATGCATGACAGTGTATATTTAGACGTGCTCAACACTTTGGCAATGAGCACATAATTATTTAAAGACCATCATCGATCAGCACTATATAGTAGTTAATCTTAAAGATCACATAATCATTAATTCATTATAACCCCCTTCCATTAGGTGCCAATTATACGCATGATCATGCATGCACGCATCACATCCTTACAAACAATTAATTGTTGCACGAAACTGGCTTAATTGGTCACAATTTGGTGGCTCATCATCTGATTATATTCCTTTGAAATGCTGTACTTTTCTCCAGGAGTTGTCTATACGTACCTAAGCTAGTACTGTACTATTTGTTAAGCTAATCTACCTGTCCAGTTTATACATATTCTCCTAGCTACAAATCTCTACATTATTATTATTAATCCGGCCTGTACATGACTGATCCCATGGTACTATCTGGCTACGGCCGGCCAGACGTCCAACGTCCCTTAATTTTTCTCCCAGCGTGCATCAATGTGACTCACGAGCTACTAGCCCCAAAATTGCTTACTGATTACAACTAATTAATACTCGAATATTTTCCAAATTAATAACATGCTATATCCAATATTCCTCTTGGAACATATATATATATACTACTTGCAGATATATACATTTCATCATATCACACAATTAGTGCCCTGGTACTGAAGATGATGGGAAAAGGAGAGGAGACCCAATGGAAGAAGAGGTGTGTATACATGGATGAATTGGATTGATGTGCTAAGTCCCAACCGATCCCCAATAGCCTCCATGGATTAGACTTGGGTGTTAATTACAATACAGTTCACGTTTTGTTGTTTGGGTATTAGCCTTTGGGTAGCAAGTCTACATGCATGCATATGCATGTATGTTACATCACCCTTTGCCCTAGGGAATACTTTTCAATATGTGCAAGACCACAAACAAGTACCCTCCAACCAACACACCCAATTAGGCTTTTCTTTTTAATCTTTTTCTTCTTCTTGTCCTTGATACTATAATACTGGCTAGTGTAATGTGTAATCATGGGCTTTGTACCTCCTCGATTTGGACTTGGTTAATTAGTGGTGATCATGTAGTACTATGGCTAGCTTAATTAGCTGGGGATTAGGAGGAGACGTGCATGCAATAAATGTTGCATTGCATAGCGACTCAGGTGTGCTTAAAAAATTAGGTTTTGTTGCTGCTGCTGCTGCTGCTGCTGCTGGTAGGTTCCTTTGCTGGAATTCCCTCTTAATTCCCATTGACAATTGGTAGGTGCACCAAGTGCATGCTTTTCCTAAACAAATATACTAGTACTAACTAAGAACAAATCAATGCAACTTGTGCATTATATTGCCCCCAAATTTAGCTCCTCTCTCTACAACCAAAAGAGCATGCATATGGTCCCCTTCAGTTCATGCATATGAGAAAGAAAGTACTACTACCAATTTAAAGGGAGAGAATATATATAGATGCATGTACTCCTACACACACTAAAGCTAAATTAGCTAGTATCCATTTCAGTGCCCCCTTCTCTCCACAACCCCATGTTTCAAGGGATCTAAAGTGCATGCAATTGCTCCATTTTTTTATTAAGAAACTAATTAAATGACACGTTTGATCGATCGATCGATCGATTAGAGAGATAATTAAGCTGGCTGGCTACGTCTAGTTCTTGACGCATGCAACAAACGTAGCCCATGCAAGAGGGAAACTCCATGTAGTTGTGTTCCTATTAGTCAGTTGTGGTCCAATTTTGATCTATTCCTTTCCTTTGCTTCTCTTTCATTGTGGTGTCACACTGCACCTTCTCATCAACTTGGCATCGCTCTCTCTCTCAATTTTTTGGATGGCCCCCACTCCCATGCACATTTTCTCTCTCCCTAAAAACCAATCATATATGGGCATAAAACTAGTGTTGCTGTGGAACTTTTTCATTGGCAGCTTACATGGGGGCCACATATATTCCACACAAAGTGCACCACTTAAGGGTTCTAAGATTTGTCATATTTATAAATATCTAACCACACAACCCAATTAAGCTATATATCTAAGTCATCTTAGCTTACTACTAATTAGGTTTTTTTTGCCTTTGATTGGAATGAAATGAAAAATTTTGAGCATCTATCTTAGAAGGTCTCTACATCACATAAGCAGCTAGCTTGGCTTCCAAGGGGTTCACAAGTAAGTGAGGTAAGCTCAACGATAGCATGACGCAGTAAAGCACATCATGGAAGCCTTTACCGTTTGGTCCTTGTACTACAGCCGCCTAATTGGTACGTATATATTCCAATCAAAAATTCAAAAGGCGATAATGTTGCTCAAAGAACCTTTTTCTTCTTTTTTTTTCCTCCAAAAGCGAAAACTGATCGAATCTTCAAGAACATTGTACCAGATCTAACTAAGAGGGCAGAATAATCGTAAGTAGCTAGCTACCTAGCTGAGTGATCGATCTGACCAGATCAAAATACATAGGGACTTGAGTATAATTAGTTCTCGTGGACTTTGATCTGATTCTATTCGTAGTTGAACCTGTTCACGAATTTTATTTCGTTTATTTCTTCTCATATTGTGATGGACCAAATTTGTTGGCATATATATTAGGATCGAAAAATCGTTGACGATCTCGATCTCTGCCACTTACAATTCCCCGTCTTAAAGTTGTCTGTACTGCTGGCTTAGATGCTTGGCTACATTAAGTGCACGACTAGGATGTATATCTAGCAAATGTGGGAAAGGGCATCAAATTAAGAGTATTCAAGCTCTCTCTCTCTACTAGAGACAAACAAGAAAGTACAATTTCATACGAACGCATAAAGCGCAAAGAACCGTTCGGTGATGTGTAGCATATATTAATATCAAAGCCTGAATATATAGATGGAATCTTTTGATTAGCTACGACTTGCCACTAAGCACACACATTAATATACATATCCTAATCAAAGCATGGTTACATTCCATATTCTGTATGCATTTGTTAAATTAATCCACAAGCTAGTAGGTCATGAGAAGCTAGCTAGCTCTTTCACTACTCAAGACTGACACATGTTTCAGCCAGCCTTAGCTAGTTAAAACCATCTCTTTCTAGAGAAGAACCTCCTCAATTATTGTTAAAGTTTCAGGGTAATATAAAATCGGTTGGTAGAGACAAAGTTGACTCAGGAAATATTTATTTGCATGGCATCTTTGCAAAGGGAGAGAACAGATTAATTAATTGATATATGTATGTGCATGCATGGCGTCGGTAAAGCTAGCTAGGTCCATTTCATTAGGAGTGTAGTACTAGATGATAGTTACAAAACTAAAGATGCAATTAAACGTTTGCACTCTCAAGTTGCACGCTCAGCTGATTGATCGTTTCTAGCTAATTCTGATCAGTACTAAATCGTACGTGCACGGCGTTAGTTAGCGGAATAAAAAAACTGCCATGATAGGGGCTGGCCATTGGTACTAAATAGTACAAATCTGAAGCAAAGTTTTTTTTTCTAGATTGTTAAATATTCTTTTTTTTCCTAAAAGCAAACCTCAATATCGATTTTAATTAAGGCAATATTTGTGGGTTTTGTGATTATTTGAAAATTAAACGCATGTGATTTTTAATTCCAAGAATACCCATCAAGTGTTTTATCGAGCACCCGCAAATAAAAAGAACTAAATATTAAGTGTTTCATCCAGGCTTTAAATTTTTTACTTTTGAAAAAAAATGTTCTCATGCGTGTTTACAGGTGGAACCCCTAAAGTTTTCTTACGATTATTTTCAAAACCTTGAAGAATGACAACAAAAATGTGTTTCTACAAACGTTTAACTAGCTATGTGAAAAGTGGCTCGTCTCGGCATCGGTTCAGAAAAAGACAGACCGAAATTTCACCTAAAAATCCTAGCTATTTATAGCCAAGCCATGTCAGCTCCCATTTTGCCTACTCCGAAAGTCTGAACTTAGGGGTAGCATGCAGCAGCTAATTAATATGCTGATCAGCATTTTTCCTATCATATATAACCGGCTGATGCAATCAAATTTCCGTAATACCTACTTTTATTACGAGTGTATTATACTGTGTATTCTAACACATAAAACCGTATAAAAAAGAGGACTAGAATCAGATAGTAGAAAAGGGAGAGGCTGAAATTGGAAATATGCATACTACACAAACTGCTCTTCTATTCTAAACAAAGGCACTTAGGATTCCCTTGGGGATGCAGTGTGGTGGTCAATGCACGTCCTAGGTAAGTATATGGCCATTTCGATCCCCCTATATTTTTGTGTATATATAGCTCTCATCAGTGTGGGATATGCTGTTTGCTTCAGAGGCCTGTGGTTAGCCAGTCAATTCCTATATGATTATATAAAATACGTTACATGATAAATTAATTAGTTTTCTAGCTATGCGTGTGTATACACGTATCACCTAATTATATATAGATATATATTAATTTTACGACCAAAATTACATATACATTGATCGGTTTTTTCATATCAGGCAGAACCCCACTGTGTATTTCAGACTTTTTTTTTTGTTTTGGTGAGGACAGATTTGTGGTATACGAACGTACATGCATGCATGGTATTTCTACCAAGTTTGCATAATATTTTGTAAGACTTGTGTTGTATTGTATTGTATTGTATAGATGTATATACTGCATGCATGTTAATTAGACACCTTGATCAGGTTAGCTGCCCTTTTACATCATTGGGTAGCCATATACTAGTATAGAGTTGCTGGGGTAGTACACTGCTGCAACCCACGTATATTTCTTTTTGTATATATATGCATAAGATTCCATGAGCATGGAACCCATTTTGCATGGGGTATATATTGATGATGGAAATGGGCAGGCAGACTAGCTAGGCGACTGAAAGGTCCATTTGAGAAGAGAATATATGGAAAACATAGATAAGAAAAACAAAGATAGAGTACTCTTTGGGGGGCCATGGGTGTGTGTAGACTATATAGTATATATGGATTTTGTATTTGTGTGTGTGTGTGTGCTAGCTTTGTGTACTCTTGAACAAAAAGAAGCCTATCATTGCAGTTACTGAGAGCAAATGCAGGCTTGCTAGCCAGGCCTATTGAGTGCAAAAGGAAGCAAGATCTCCAAGTCATTATGAAAGGGATCCATCCCCAGTGATGGAGCAAGAAATTTTGTGTGTGTATGTGTTTGTTCATGTGCACACATACATGTGTACATACACACTCTCTCACAGGGAGAGAGAGAGAGAGAGAAAGAGAGGCACATATATACATATACTCAAAAGCCCTACTTGATGCTTCCATATGGTGAGGATGGTGCATAGCTTTCAGTGATGCATGGTAGGTGAAGGAGGGCTTTTTCTAGGGCACCATCTATGTCACTCAAGACTCACACTACTTTACACAAACACAGCCCTCACAAACTAGCTTAGCTAGTACTAGTATAGATCAGTATATAGATTATGCATGTATATATATGCATGCATGCATTCATCTACTCATGTATGTGGCCTTTGTAGTACAAATATACTAAGTATATGTGTGTATAGCCCTGTAGCTATAGCTAGCTGCATGCATGCATTGCATATGCTCTCTTCCATCTGAGGCATCGCAAAGAGGAAGGAAGAAGAAGCTTATAGCTATAGCTATAGCTAAAGGAGAAAAGGCCTTGGCAATGATGAGCTCCTTAGCCATTTCCTGACCCCCTATGTCTTAGCTTCATAGGAAAAGAAAGAACAGAAAGGTGTGTGAGCACTCTAGCTACATCCCCTAAGCTCTAATCTAGTACCATATACATCTCTCTTTTGCAAGAAGAGCCAAGAGGGGAGCAGCAACAGCCTATCCATCACTAGCCAGTGATAACTAACCATCTATCTAACCCCTCTCACTACTCTTGATTTCACTTTCATTGCCCCTCTCTCTCTCTCACTCACTATTGTTTCTCTCTCTCTAGAGGATGGATGGAATGGAATGGAATGGAATGGCATGGATGGAGAAGCTCTTGTCAAGTGGTGAGGGGGGGCTGATGTGCCACCCAAGACACACACCCCTCACCTACAACCACAAGGAAGTGATGAAGAAAGAGGAGGAGGAGGAGGAGGAGCAAAGCTGCTATTGCTATAGCTTAGCTTTGTGTGTTGTCACTCACACACTTAATACTATTTGTACACACATGCTTTAGTATACTTGCAAGGATGAGGTGTGCACACACACACACACATAGTACACATATGTGTATATTTTTGTAGCCCCACATCAGTATGGTACAACTAGTCCCTTTTCTAGCTCTAATGTTCCTTTCATCACCGATGTTGGAAAAAGCAAGCTCTAAGGGGGGAAGAGAAGGGAAAAAAAAACAAACATGCACCATGACCATGGTACTACTACTACTTAGTAAAATAAAAAAGAACACAATGGATAGATAAATAGTAGTAGAGAATTTGTGTAAAGCCACCACAACAACAAAAAGAGATGGGAGAAAAAGGCACAAGCAAGCCACACAAGAGAAAAAAAAACTGCAAATGCTTCAAGAAAGGAGATGGCTAGATTAACTAATTGGGATTAGTGTAAATACCTCTGATTCATCTTCCAATCCAAGCTTGTTAACCAGGTACTTGGTCAGCAACCTTACTGTCACCCTCCCATCCCTGAATTTGAAGATCAGAGACAAAAAGAAGTTAAGCGCATTAAAACCCTTCTAAATGTATTTGTGTGATGTAGAAATTGTATACTGATGCATGCAAAGAAGAAACTGCCTGATAATTCCATGGATTTTGGAGAGGCATTATTGACAAAACACCAGAGAATCCAAATGCAGTATGGGAAATTAATTAAGGTAAGATTAGAAGAGCGTGGTGATAGAATAGTACTTGATCCGTAGGTAGCTCCTTGGAATCTGAGGCAAGAATGGCTCCCTCCCTCTGCAGCACAAATCAAAAATTTTTTTTAAACAATCAAAGAAGAAACCAAAAAAGTAGTCAAATAAATCGACGCCGAAGAATTTTTATATTTTTGTTCAAGGAAGGATTAATTAATAAAGCAATCAATCAAGCAAGCATCGATCGATCGATCAAATTAAGCAAAGCAAATAATATTAATCATCAGAAGATGACGAGGAGGACGCTGCAGCATTCTGCAGGAATTAATCCGACAAGTTACCGAATCGGATTGCGGTAATTTGTGAGAGGATTAAAAGAGAGGAGAGAGAGGTGAAGTGGTAAAAAAAAGAAAAGAACACATGAAATGCTCCTACGTAGGAGTAGGAGGTGCTAGGCGTGGTACTCACTGGAGCGGCGCGGCCTGGAGCACGAACCAGACGCCGGCGGCGGCGGCGACGGCGGACGGCGGGAGGACGACCCTGATCGCGTCGAAGCCCGAGGAGGCGGGCGGCGTCGTCGTCGGCGGCGCGGCGTAGAACGCGCGGTGTTGGTGGGGGAACGGGAGGAGCGGCGGCGGCGCGGCCACGGGGCTCCACGGTGGCAGCCAGGGCGGGGCGGCGCGCAGCATGTGCGTGGGTATCGACGCCTGCGGAATGCCGGGCATGGCGGGGCCGGGGCGGAGGAAGGATCCCGGCGGCGGCATGCCCGGGAGCACCAGCACGTCGTGGTGGTGGTGGCGCGGCGTCGGCGTCGGCGTCGGCGTCGGCGTCGGCGTCGGCGGCTGCGGCGCGGGCGCCGTCGTGGTGGTGGACGGGAAGAGGTCGTGGTCGGAGCCGGCGGAGGCCCCCGGCGATGCCGGGCCGGTGGCGAGGCGGAGCCAGTCCCTGGTGCCGCCGCCTCCGTTGTTGCTGCTGCTCCCGCCGCTGCTGCTGCCGCTCGTCCCGGCGACCTCCTGGTGGTGGTGGTGGTGGTGGTTGTGGTGTCCGTCTCCGCCCAGCTGCAGCTGGAGCCGCTGGTTCCGCGTCGTCGTCGTCGGCGGCGGCAGCGGCTCCCTCTCCTGAATCCGGTGGTGGTCGTCGTCGGCCTCCCGCGGCGGGGGCTGCTTGGGCGGGTCGTGCTGGTGCTGGTGGTGGTTGATGGGCTCCTGCGCCATGTATCTCGTCGGCCCCCGCGGCGTCACGACGCCGTCGTCGTCGTCGTCGCAACGGGCGGTGGCGCCATGCGCGGCGGCGGCGTGGTCGCGGCGGCGGCGGACGAGGTGCGGGTGCGGGTGCGCCAGGCTCCGAGCCGGGACCATCCGGGCTGCGGGCGCCGTCCGCTCATGCCATCCACCCCGCCCACCCCCACCCCCAGCGCTCGCGCTCGCGCCACCCACCCACCCCTCCTCCTCCTCCTCTCACCCTCGTCGACGCCGGCAGGCCGGCCGCGCAAGTCGCCGCCGGCGAGGAGGAGGCACGCGCGCGCGCACGGTGGCGTGAGAGGAAGAAGCTAAAAGAAAAGAGAGAGAAATGGATAGGAAGAGAGAGAGGATGGGCTTCGGAGATCATCAAATAGTTTCGGCGAGCAAGTGGTAGAGAGAGAAAGTGATGAGAGAGAAGTAAAATTTCCTCTACTCTCTCCCTATAGTATTGTTAAAGTCAAACTGTTTTAAATTTAAGTAAGTTATATTTATATTATTAAATTAGTTATATAAAATTAATTATTAAGTATATTTTTATAATAAATTTATTTTGGGCTAAAAATATTACTATTTTTTAATATAAACTTGATTAAACTTGAAATATGTTAAGTTTGACCAAAGTCAAAACATATTACAACCTACCACGGAGGAAAGTATCATTCTCTGTTTTATTTAATTATTTTTTTTGATATTTAACGAAGGGGCCTACGGTGAAAATACGGCGATTAGATAAGGGGCTAGGTGCAAATACGGTCTCCCTGTAGGTGGGGCCAGGGGGTAAAAATGTACTCCCTTCGTTTTTTAATAGATGATGCTGTTGACTTTTTTTCACACGTTTAATCATTCGTTTTATTCAAAAAATTTACGTAATTATAATTTATTTTGTTGTGAGTCGTTTTATCACTCATAGTACTTTAATGTGATTTATATCTTATACATTTGAATAAAATTTTTAATAAGATGAATTGTTAAATATGTGAGAAAAAAGTCAACGGCGTCATCTATTTAAAAAATTGAGGTAGTATGCGTTGGCTTGGAATGATTACCCCAGTGGTGGGGGTGGGGCCCATGCAGTGACCAGGAAAAAATAATAAACCGTGATGACGTGGCGTTGCATGCGTAGTCGGAGTTGGGCTGCGCGGTTGGGCTGCAGCCAAGCCGATCCGGCCCCAAGCCTAGAAAGGTCGTCCGAGTTCCGACCCGAGCCGGCCGGCCTATGCGGCGCGCACAGGTCACCCCTACGACACTTGACACGCCGCCACTTCTACTTACTACTACTCCTAAGTCCTAAGTCCTCCTTCCGTAAAAATAAAAAAAACAATCCAATTTTCAGATTGATACCTAGAATTAGATTTTTTTTAGAGAATTTTTAGGGTGTTTGTATTTTAAAAAGGTAAACATCCAACGCTCCACAATAAAAGGTATACCACTTAAAAGGTATTTAAGAATTGTTATAGGTATTTAGGTAGGAAGGGTAAAAAGGTAATTTATTTTGAGATGGAGAAGGGCATAATTGTCTCAATATTAGCTCTAGGTACATAGGTACCGCATCGGTACTTTATCTTCTATAATCCTCCACTATGTCATTTACGTGTTTTTTTGTGAGATTTACATTTGGTATCTAACAACATGGTCCAACGCTATTTGGGGGCCTTGGGTGAGTTGGTTTAACCCAACCGAGAAGGAACAGTGCCTATCCTAACACTATTCATCTTTTTCCTCCGTCCAAGCTTGGGCAAACATGAAGAGGAGGCTAAGGGCGTCGAGGTTCTGGTGGCTGTATGATGACGGCGATGGCGGTAAGACATGTCTCGCGGCTCAGCGCACCCATGGGAAATGGAAGCAGGCACAAAGGACAACAAAAGCGCTCGGAACGCAAGCGCTAGGGTTTGATTTAGGGAAAGAAAGAATGGCAGGTAGCGAGCTTCAGTTGGTATTTCGGCCATCTAAGGGCGTCACCACGCATCCCTGTCGATAGGGATTCCGTTTTCCCGAACTTGTTGACGAAAGTGGTGAGGGAGTGGTTGGAAGCGGTGGAGCTTGATGGCAGGGAGGAAGCATGGCCATGGACAAGAAAGAAGTGGTGGAGGAGAACAAAGGAGACATCAGTCTTCGCTTTTTCTCCCATGCATATCAATTCAATCCACTAAATCTGCGGAAGATTTACTTTGTTTAATTTCCTATTGAACGACACCGATCACATGGAGCTAGCTATTCTCGATTCACAGAAAAATACCATATTTCACTAGTTTATTACTCCACCGCCATCATTTACAATAATGTTATTCCGTACCTTGCCCCTCTCTTAATCAACGGTACACATTGTCTTACCTCTCAGTACTTCTAAATACCTCGCGAACACCGTAAAAGCTCTCTTTTTTTTTTGACCGAGCGAGTATACCGGCTAAAACACTACCGGCCCAAAATAATTACTAGTATAATTCCATCTAAGCTATATTTAGCATATACTCCTTCCGTTCCAAACGATAAGACCTATATTTTTTTTCACGGTCATTAATGTTATATTTTGATCATTAATTTTTTTTCTTGTTATATTCTCAACAAATATATAATTAGCATCACATGAAAGTACTTTCAAATATAATCTAATGATATAGCATACATAATATTTGTCATATATATGGTTAGTATAATTATTAGTCAAAAGTTAACAAGTTTCATGTATATATGGAGGGAGTATTAAGGTTTGAGAAGGAGGAGTGTAATGCTCCTCATTAAATGTTGTATAAGTAAGAGCGAGAGAATAGTTATGGGTAGAATAAGTATAATTTAATATCAGAAGTGATTGATGGGACACTATTACTATTTTACTGTGAACTATTTTAGGACAAATTTAAATCATATAAATAAAATTATTATGGAACAGAGGAAGTACTCACTACCAATCTTTTCATCATCCAATGAGCTTCGAGATTCATGTTGATGGGTTACTTCCGATGTCTTTGACCATTAGATGAGCTTTGAGATTCGTGCTGGTGGGTGTTGGGGGAAAACTTTTCAGGGATCGAAAACCCACAACTTTACTTTTGCAAGCTACTCGCACTAACCACCCTGTGCCATCATATGTTATTTGCTACTTAAATTCATGATTTATACTGTAAGTTAGATAGTAGTTACACTTAAGTTATATAATTGTTATAGTATAGTTGTATTAAAAAGATTTTTGAGGAATTTTTTGTTGAAAGTTATATATAGTCCCTATAAAATACTCATTTTGTTTCAAGTTACTTAATATCTTAGTAAATATTTTGTTTAGGTATTTTAGTAAATCTTTAAGTGAACTAAAATGATAACTGCAACCAAACAGTTGCCTAAGATAGTCAATCTTGCAATGACTAATTCTAGATGTCATAAACCATGGTAAGTAGTGTCTGCAAACTCCTCTGTCAAAAAAAAAATCCTATGAATGAATCAAAGATATACATGTATATCTAGATTAAAACTTAGGATTTTATTTTGTGTCTGGATTCATTCTTAGGATTTGATTCATTTTTCTTTTTAACAGAGGGAGTAACCGGTTGGTTGTGGGAGAGATCTTCTTCGTCCTCTATTCGTCAACAGGGACTCTAAAGAAATTGTCCTAAGACAGAGTTTAGCTTTTCCTAACACTGATAAAGCAGGCTATTTCCTCCGTTTTTAATATATGACGTATTAATTTTGACATACTCCTACGTTTTAATAATTGTCTTATTTGGAAAATTTTAGGCAAATATAAAAAATATAAACCATGTTAAATTACTAGTGATAAATTGAATATCCTAACAGATTAAATGATAATTACACAATACTTTTTAATAAGATGAATGGTCAAAACGTACGACCAAAATTCAACGATGTCATACATTGGAACGTACTTGTTTAGAGTGAATCTATTCTATACTGCTGAGTATTGTCCTATTTCAACAATATACCAATGACTTTGCATCCTTTTATAATATAGCATCGGCTTTATCAATTTTTCTATAATATGCCATGAGGCTTGGCCTTTTTGTTTTCAAAAATACCCAAAATGCTTTTAGAGACATACAAAGTTAACAAGTGATTTATCTCATTAGAATTTTCGGAAAATTATAAAATTTTTTGTTTGGCCCCGAAGGTTGTAGATAATAAGTTCCATCTTTTTTATTTCTACCTTTTGTAAAATATAACTTATATATTATATGCTATATAAGAAACTCTTTTGTGCTGTTGTTTTTAATGTAAATTATCTTTCATATGCTATATAAGTTATTTTCTTGCTATTATCTTTTGTGTAAGTAATTTCTCTCTCATATACCACACAAAAATATTTTTTCTAAAAAATAATAAAAAAGAACTTAAAACTTATATACAAACTTCCATGTTGTGTAAGGGGGCCAAATAAAAATTTTCATATTTTTTTAAACTTCTAATGAGATAAATCATTTGTTAACCTTATATGTCTCTAAGAGTATTTTGGGTATTTTCTAAAAATGTCATGCCCAATAATATATTGTAGAAAAATTGACAAAGTAGTCGATATATTATGGAAAGAGAAAACATCAATGACAAATCATTAAACTCAAACAAAATCAATGATATAGAGTAGATTTTCTCATTTGTTTACCTTTACCTCTTCTACTCACCGGCTTATAAAAACAAAAATATTGAATCCCAGAAGAAAAATTGTGTGGTATGATTCTCTAAGACACCATATACAAATATATATAATTATCCAACAAGCGATAGATGTCATACATTGGAAATCGAATAGTGTAGAGAGAATCTATTATATACTACTCCGTCCATCCCAATTTGATCATCCCATAACCAAATGTTACAAAAACCAAGAACACCAAGATATCCATCATTCTGAAATTACTCATCATCGATCAAGGTGTTTCGGCGTTTTGTCTCCAACAAAAATTAATTCACACTTAAAATTGCATGGGTTGGACCAAAAGATATTAATCTTGATCCCTTGCATGTAAGCATGTAGGGATTTCACGATGCACATTTACTATTTGTACAAATAAATAAAGAAAAACTTTGTTAGATGATGATCATTTTGAGAAAATCTTAAAAATCTTAGGTGATGATTAAATTGGGATAGAGGGACTACTAAGTATTGTCCTAGTCAACATTTCACCACTGAAATTGCCTCTTTTTATAATATACCGGCGACTTTATCAATTTTTTTATACTACGCAATGAGGTTAGGCTTTTTTTTTTAAAAAAAAAGCCAAGTACCTTTAGAGACATACAAAGTTAACAAGGGATTTATCTCATTAGAGTTTTTTAAAAAATGTATTTTTTATTTGGCTCCGTTACACAATAAGTTTCAATTTTTTT